TTATTGGCAGGGAACATGAAGATGATGATAAATACCCTGTCTAAATTCTTTACAGGCCTATTAACTCGCTGCCTAGATGCTTTTAACCATATTTTATCTTTCCAATAGTGACACAGTTATTGTCTTTTTAAGGCATCTTTAAAACATGAAGAAATTATTATAATATTGGAAAACATAAGCATTGATGGCATAGATTTAAAAATAATAAAATAACAATATATACTGGCAGCAAGAAGCAGTCATAAGAATTAGCTGCCAAGTGAGAACTTCTCAGCATATTAAACAATGTGTTAAACTGGGATCTGTGCTATCATCTGATCTGTTCATTTTGCACAGTAAAATCTATACAAGCAGTGGAGGTATGGTTGTGAAAAAGAATGATAACAGATTAAAAATATTAAGATGTCTTTAAAGAAATTAACTCACCAAAAAAAAAACTGGTTATCAAAAATAGGGCAATGCACATTCTTTGAACATGTCTCGGGAATGGAAAGACTAGAGTATGCCATGACTAGTAAACTTCCAGGGAAAAGGGGGGGGGGGGGGGGGGGGGGGTAAGGAGACCAAGAGGGAGTATGAAATATGTCCCTATTTTTTTTTCTAGTTTAAATTCTGGGTCATCATATACACTGAATGTGTTCAAATATTTATGTCTTAATTTTGGAGGACTGGCTAATAAAAAAAGCATTTTGTCTTGAAGCAAAAATATTTTGGCCGTATTAAGCGCCACTTTGGATTGGAAAAATAATAGCGGAGACATGGTGCCACGTAGGAGGAACAAGGGCAGACCCAAATGAAGATGGGCACAGGGTATAAGTGACTTCTCAAATATGAAAGTACACAAGGTGTGTGAGCCTGCAAGAGACAGAACTTCTTTCAGGCAGACTGATAAGAGCGACGTTCTGCAAAGGACTTGCTACATGATGATGATGAATTTTTGGGTAACAAATAAGGGGTTGTCTTATGCATAGGGACATCTTATACACAGCAAAATAGGGTATTTTGGACAGTTTTGTATCAGGGCTTGGAAGATGTATATTAGAATTATTGTAAGTACATGAGACAAAGGCTTTGTACAGAGATTATCAACACTACACAACATGGGCTCTAAGATTACCCCATGTATGGTTTTCTTGAAACAGTTAAAAAAAAAAATTAGAACAGATCATATTTGTGTTTCCGTAGTTTCCCAGCCACTTTAATGAGTGCTTGGTGCAACACTGTGAACTGTAGATTTTGTGTGAAATATTTCAGATGCGCCTGCTGCGTGTTGTGGACTGCACTAAAATAGCAGCGGGTGGCCAACTATGATGGCATGCACTTTTACATCTGCAGTGTCGGATTTTGTGATTGACTGTTTGTGGCAATTGTGAGTTGCAGTTCTGGAATCTGGTGTGATACCGTTAGTGTTAGCACATTCTGCAGCTGCCTTATGCATTTTTACTTTGCTTGTGCAAGCTTCAAGATTTTGCTGGGACTGACAAGCTTTTCACTAGTTTTAAAACGGGACAGTGAAATAAATACATTCTGTGTCATATCCACTGGTACAGGTTGGAGCAGTTATGGGGCTCGCCTCTGCAGTGATGTTGAAACTTCGGCTAACATATTTGCATTTCTGCCTTTGAGGTTCACCACATCTTCCGCCGCATGCCAGCTGGTCTGAAAATTATTGATCCAGCATCATATGCTTGATTAGCCACCAGCGTTAAAAAAAAGGTCTTACTCACTTTTTAATTTGCATTTGTTCACTTTAAATTATTTCACAGAGTAAACTTATTCGTCTGGTGGGAAACCAGCTGGTGGCTAAACAAAAGCTCAACGTAGATGTCATGCCAGATGTTCTTAAAGATTATCCCAAGCTGGAGCTGTGGTTGAAAATTGTTGGCATTCCGGAGGATGCTATAAAGGTATTGTATTTTTTTCCAAAAAATATCCTCCCCTTGTGGGTTCTGGGATCCAATTGTGAGAGGAACATAGAATAGACCCACCTCTCCTTAACAAGCATGCCGTAAAAGTCAACTAAATAAGAGTGTCTCCTTCGAAGTTGGAGTGCATCTACCTCAGAGGCAATGAATCAGCATAAGAATAAGACAGATCTGTAAAATGGATGTCCACACAAAACTCAAGTTCTGGAAAAAGACCAAGAAGTGGGCAAAAAACTCTGGCCGAAGTTTACAGCTGATGAATGCTAAGAAGAAGATTATCATCAGAAATCAAAAATATTCCCATCGTTATGATTCTTTTGTACCTTTATTTGTCAATAAGGCTTGCATTTTATTCTTCCATTCTTTTCTGTCCTACCAGACATTGCCCATGGGGGATGCGTAAAATATCAAAATAATGTGATATAAATAATTCTGGTAGGTGGGTTGGGGTTAGGGTCAGTTGTGAATGTTTTAGCCAGCTCTACTTGGCAAAATTGAATGCTTGTCAACTTGTGAGACCAGTCGTATAGAAACAGAATGATGTCTGTATGGCAGACGTGACCCTTCCAGCCATGTCCCTTTCCGTAACTATAAGTCCAGGCGACAGGTCAATTTTTGACACCGCAATTGGTCCTCTTTTTCCGTCAGGGATAACAACATCGTATGATTATTGTTATGCAGAATACCATGATGTTGCAGGAAAACAACACTATTTTTCTTACCAGGCATGGATGCTGATAATCCTAGGAAATTCATGGCAATGAAGACAGAACACACACAAGTCGCTGGAGTGGAGGGATGCCTGCCGCCGGAATGAAGAGTGAACACACAAGAAACGCGCTAAAGAAACATGTACCAACACCTTGGCAACTATTGGCAACGCTTTACAACTGAGACACAGAGGACACACACAGCGAACAAATTTAACACACAGCGGAAAACCCTCTCTTACCACCCCCTGAGACATTAGACTGTCCCGTGACCTGTGGAGTTCCGGTGTTGGGGGGAGTTGTTGGGATTGACTCTTGACTCAACTTAACGCCTCATTGAAACAGATAGATTTCTTTTTATAATTCACCTTGATTTCTAGGTCAACCCAGCCCAAAAATAGTTGCTGATACATATTCCGGAATGTGTTGAATATTGAGTTGACTGACATCACAGCAATCGGGACATTCCCATAAGTGCTCTGTCCTCATCTTCAGCAGCCAGCGAAGAGTTCCAGTTCCGATGGGGCCGGTAGCAATTTGATTTTGTGTCTGCCCTTCGTTTCCTCTGAGTGTAGAGTGTCGACCAGATCTGATCACTTCTAGCTGCAGCATTCTCTCCAGACCATACTCATTTATTCATGCCTCTGCATTGTACACTTGCATAAATTCACCACCAATTGTGCAGAACCAGCCAGTCTGTCTGTCTGTTCATTTCCCAAAACACTTCTGCGTGTCCCTTAAAAAATGTCCCAAGAACGCTAACTATCTGAGACCTCTGCCACTCTACACGGAGCATACCTGTCTCCTTGTTATGTAAGGGTGGCCATTATGATGTTGACATCTCCCATAGAGTATAATGGGTACTTGATACCAGTGCCACTTTAGGTATAAGCTAAACAGGCTACAGACTAGGGCATCACAATCTACAGGGGCCTAAAAATCATATTTTTATAACAAATTCATTTTCTTTTAGTGTATATTACAAACAATTTCCTGTGAAATATTTTAACCACAAGCAGAGATTAAAAATTTTTTTTTTTCTGTTGTGTATATTATCTCAGGCATTTGATTTATTCTAACTTGTTGTAGGCTATTTAAATGGAATTAAAAAAAAAAAATCATCCTGATACACATCAACTTTCACCTTTTATTGAGTCATCTCAACGTAAGCTATAAGGTAAATATATGTTAATGTCTATATTATAATTTTTTTTTTTTCAATTAAAAATTAAATAACAATGAATTTCCATTATCCGTATATTTAAAAGGCGTATGTTTTTTACAGTTTTCTGTGATTGGCTGCTATAATTTAAAACTGGGGTCTCAGGACTTTATATAGGTTAGAGCCTCATCATCATCAATCAGCAGGTCCTGTACAGAATGTGGCTCTCGACACAGCACACCTGAAAGTTGCTCTGTCTCTACCAGATTCTCAAGCCTGATATGCTTTCCCAGCCAGTTCATCTTCATTGTCCTGTATCTAATTCTCTGAGGTCGTGTCTGTAATTTTTTTCCCAACACCATTGAGGACAGGGTGCTGTTTATGAGACAGTTCTTCTCGATGCTTAAGGCCTCATCAAGTGTAAATCAGGCTGGGTCAGCCTAGGAGTCAAAAGCCAGTTTTTGAAAAATCTGTAAGGATGTGGATTTGAACCATAGATCTTCTGGCAAGCTAGCATCTAGCTGCTATGCCAACGCTAGTTTAGCTGTAGTTTTAGTTTCTATGCATGCTTTAGCTTCTGTTGAAGAATATTCTTCTTCTTATCACTCACGGGCTGTAAACTGCAGCAGAGAGTTCTGGTTGTTCGTTAACTATGAACTTGTCTTGATCCAGATTCTTGATCCATATCTAACTTATTGCAGATTGTTGTGTCATTGCCTCTCAGACAGATGCTCTGTGAAGGAAACTCTCCTAATTGTATGTTGAATTGAGAATTGACATCACAGCACTCGGGACAACCACATAAGCGTTAAAATTCCAATGGTACCAGTAACTGTCTGATTGTATATCCGTCTCGCCTTTCCACGGAATGTTGAGCGTCAGCCAGTTCCCCTGGTAACTCCTGGCAGTGCCATTCTCCTTAGACAGTAATGATCTATCTGTTCCTCTGCACTGTTCACTCGCACCCAAAGGGCCCTCACAACATCCAGCTTGTAATACATCAGTTCACTACTAAGTGGTGCAGAACCAGTGAGTCTATCTGCCTACTCATTTCCCAACACACGGGCATGACCTGGAGAAAATATCCAAATGACACCTCTAATTAGTTGCCTCTTAGATTGAAGTATGGTGTGGCCAGCATTGTAAATTAGTTAATGAGTTAACACAGTTTTTGTAATACTCAGCTGTTGATGTGGATTTTAGGAAATCTTGGATGAGGGTCTCATGTTCTCTGATTTGCTGCACATGGAGGAGAATCAGCTGACATCCTACCTGAGGCGTTTGGATTGTTCTGAGCAGGAGGTGAAAACTTTGCTCACTGCCTTCAAGAATCTCAAAGTCTGTACAGGTAATAAAGACAGGGGGGCTTTGTTTTTTTTGTTGTCCAGTTAATTTGTAGCCCTGATTATTACCTCTCATCTTGTATAATTCATCTATGTCTTAAAGTCCTAGTTAGCAGTCCCTAAGGACGTCCTCTTTGGTGAATTAAAGATGGATAGAAGATGTTGAAGCTGACCTCTACTACGAAATAAAGATGTGTGCAAGCGGCACATGTTTGATACATGTATTGAGGTGGACTCGTGGGAACTGAATGCAATGGACCGTGTTGTGTGGAAGGGGCACATCAGGAAGGGAATGAGAATGAAGGAAGAAATGTTTGCAGAAAGGATGATGGCTGAGCATCTGAGCTTTTCTTAACATGAGCGGGTCTTGCTAGTAACACTTGCTGTTGCCATGGGCTGTGAGTCCCATACCTCCTCATAGCCCAATATAACACTGTCATCTGGAAAGACAGAAAGGTGCCAATCACATCAGCAGTTACAAAAAAAATTTAAAAAATTTAAAATGTATGCCATCTCCGCAAAAAAACAAATATACATGAACTTTTCAGCACTCATAGAAATAAGTAGAGAGAAATAAGTAGCTGTAGTTACCATGCTGGGAATCGAACCTGTCACCTCCAAGTGACGAAGGCGCCTTGCTGTAGAAACAAGTGTATGAACATGCACGACCACTTGACACCCCTAAAAAGTTATCAGCACTAACCATGTATATCGGGGCTATTCAACTAAGTTGGCTCAGGGGCCAAAATATTCAAATTGGGGATTGTCATGGGCCAGAGGCCTCAGCACCAGTATAGAAAGATTGATAATACAATGCAGCTAGAAGTGATCCGCGGGCCACTTGCTAGGCCTTGGTGGGCCAGATTTGGCCCGTGGGCAGCCAGTTGAGTAGCCCTGATGTATATCATACAGGAGTCTTGTTCCACACTTCCGGTCAAAATGGAATCTAGGCGGGCCACTGTTTGAAGCCGAGGCAAAATTTTTGCTTCTGCCGGACAGTGGCCGATGCATTTTTATTCCATTTGTAGACTAGATATAGTTTCGTCGCCCAGCTTCTGAGTTGAATGCATGGCGTGACACTGTGAGCTGCAGATTTCATTTGAAATGTTTTTTCGACTGTTACCAACGTGGTGGTGTGAATTGTAGATTCAGAAAATGATGCGATGCCTGTCGTCGCAATTTTGGTAGTGCCCGTATATGATTAAAATTGATCGTGTGGGGAACTGCAGATCTGTTGGTGACTTCTGCTACCATCAATGATGAACTGCATTTCTAATGTCGGACTGTTTGTGTTAGCACTTCAGATGGCTACTGTATGCTTTAATGCGAGTGTATGCTAGGTATGCTGAGACAGCAGTCTGTCAATCTATCCACAAGGGTCTGTGATAAACATTCTGTGTGTTTTTCGTTGGCACAGGAGCGGAGCAGAGATGGAGTGACCCGTTTGCTATGAAGCTGAAACTAAGATTACCAGACTACCAGATATCATACAGCTTGAATCCACAACTAAAGAATACAGACAGTTCACAGATTAAAATGGAACCTAGGTTACAGAAATTTATATTAACCAAGCATAGATTAACCAACACCTGAAATCCTTCTACAATGGAACAGAATCTGGCCACTGTGATTGGTTCCCAGGGGAAACGGGAGAGAAACAAGGCTGTGTCCTATCACCGATGCTCTTTGGAATAGCAATCAGTTTGTTCATGCACAGATGTACAAAGAACACAAATATGGGTGTTAAATGGGTTGACAAAATTCTAGAAGACCTTGACTGTGCTGAAAGCATAGGGCTTTTAAGTTCAATGCACCCAGATATCCGAGAGACAACAAACCATCGCCAAAATGTTTCATAAGACAAGACTTCCCTATCAAGCCTAAATATGGACACCAAAAGGGAAAAGAAAACGGGGAAGACTCAGAGAGACCCTGCGTAGAACCATTTTCAGGGAATACTCAACCATGGGCCTAACAAACACCCAAGACCTAAAGGAACCGCCAGACATGGAGAGCTATGACCTCTGCCCTATGCGCCGTGCTAGGCCCAAGAGGAAAGACTAACAGCATGTGATAAGGATGATGGCATTCAAACCGTTATCCAAATCACATCAAAGCGGTCTGATAGAAAATTGAGCCTAAAGACCTAAAGCAGGTGGCAACGAATTGCCAGACATGGGGAGCTATGACCTCTGTCCTAGGCATCGCCCTAGGCCCAAGAGGAAAGACTAACTAACTAAGCGTAGGATGAATAACAAATGCAAAACATTGGAGGCTGGCATGAGGTTCAACAAAAAAATGTTAAAATTACCCTCCAGTATTTCACCTATTATTGTGTGCTCAAACATTTTCCAGCTTGCTGTTAATAAAACTTATCTCTTCATTCTTTTTTGGTGTGTTCTGCTGCTGATGATGATGTTTCTCCTCCTAGATCCTGAACAGACTTGTGCAGAAACTTTTGTAGTTTATGGCTGGTAACATTTTGCTGTTGTGGGCTGCGAGTCTCATTAAATCCCTCTCTGCCACTTAGTAATAAAATGAATTAATCAAGTAACAGAAAGTGTATTGATCGGCACTCATAGAAAGAAGTAGAAAGATAGAAGAACACACTAGACAACATAAAAATTGAAAGCTATAGTTACCGTGTCGGGAATTGAACCTGTCACATCCAGACGGCATCTGCGCCTCGCCATGAATACAAGTGAACTAAGAACATGGTCAACTAGGTCCCCTAAAATTTAGTAATAAAATCAATGGTTTACGGCAGAGCTATTCAACTCATGGCTTGCGGGCCAGATTTGGTCTGTGGAGGCTTAGGAAGCGGCCCATGGACCATTGCCAATTGTATTATATTAATGATCTTTCTAAACTTACGCTTGGGCTTTTGGCCTGTGATGATCCCCATTTTCACAGTTTTGGTCCCCGAATAGACTTAGTTGAATAGTCCCGTTTTGATCCCAGCCAGTGCATCATGTGTGATCAGCTACTGCTCCTGTGTGTCCCAAACACTGCTTTATGTGATCTGATTTTTATGATAAACATTTGACACTGTATGTTCAAAATCCAACATAATTTGTTTTATGTTCTAAGTTATATGCAGCCCATGTAATACATTTATGCTTGATTTGTTGTGCCCAAGTACTCGATAGGCATCTCCGATGAGATCTTATGGGATTGAAAGAGTAAATACTGACATTCTTTAAAAAAAAATGCCTGCAATGTTTTTATAAGAACATGAATATTTATACATGTTTTTCCTCCATTCAAAACAAGAAAAACAAATGGAAGGACAGTCAACAGCAGATCACGACTGGCACTTTACGGACCTGGCATGCCTGCAGGCTGCCGCTGTTGCAGCAACAGCAGCATCACGTTCCACCACCAGCAGCCCGGCTGCAGGCAACTCTCCGAAACATCAGCAGCGAACCACCACCTCTATTTCATCCGGTATGTCCGTCTCCTCTTTTGACCCCTACTCTACAATAAGGTCAGAATCCAGTTTGGAGTGGGCAGGAAGAGGCAAACCCCAGCCACTGATGTCTAAAAGCATAACTGATATGCCTCCTCCGAGAAGCACCCCATCGTCTCCCACGCCCTCCCAGCACACATATACTGGTTCCCCACCTTCAAGTCGTTCCAAGTCCGTGAGCAGTCCTGCTGTGAAGTATCCCATCACTCCTCCACCTTCGAAAAATACCAAGCTGTTTCCAGAGCCACAAATCACCAAAAGCAAGAGTCATGAGTCTCAGCTTGCTAACAAAGTGGTGGACATCGATCCTGTCAAGTGAGTAACTGTTTTATTATTTTCTCTTCGTCCCCTTCTCTTTCTCTCCCTCCTCTTTCCTCCTTATTTTATTGTTTCTTCTTCTTTTCTTTGTCTGTCTCTTTCTTCTTCTTCTTCTTCTTCTTCTTCTTCTTCTTCTTCTTCTTCTTCTTCTTCTTCTTCTTCTTCTTCTTCTTCTTCTTCTTCTTTGCCTTCTCCTCCTTCCTCTTACTTCCTTCTCCTCCTACTTCTTGTGCTGCTGCTGCTCCTCCTCATTCTTCTTTTACTCTTTATTTTCCACTAGAGCATAGGTCCTAGACAGAGTCATCTTAATTCAATTTTGTGTGTTGTTGTTGCCATTTGCATACAACTCACCCCATGTCCTTTGGGTTAAAAGTACACGACAGTTGAATTGGCAAGGTACTGAGTCACTTTCTGGTAAGCTCTTACAGACTGAATGATGGAGTCAGATGACAGACCCACAGCCTCCAGAGCATAAGAAACAATCTTAACCACTTCACCAAGGAGACCTTCATGTTGAAAATATTGCATGGTCTATGTAAAACACGTCTGTGGGTGTTGTGGCAAAGAAAAAGTTGATAGATTGGCCAGTGCTGTCTTAGTTGCAGATGGTTCTGTCTTGGTTGTAGATGACGGATTGCGCCAACATTGTTGATGCCCTTAGAAAAAGAAGTTAACCAGCACAGGGCGGGCACTATTAACAGTGGGATACTGATGTGGTAAGCTAGTTTGGGGGAATTTATCGTCGCCTGGAGATCCCCTATAATCCTTCCTAAATATTTTACAGGGCTTGAATTAAGAAAGTCTAGGGGAATTCTATGGGTCCCTGAGTTCATAAAGAAAGGAAGGGAAATACAGAAAATCAAATCAATAGGGTGAATCCCAGGAATAGAACTGAATACGTAATAATTCTTCTAACTAAACTTCAGAATAAACAAAGTTCAACACCTTGCACATTGAACTCAAATAAATCACAACCTACAATACTTTGTCTACACAAGGAATTCAAATCGATACTAATTGATATAATCCGATATTTGATTTTTCTAAATCAACAATTGTATTGACATAATACGGTCCAGGAATCTCAACAAATTATTCAACTAAAAAAAAAAACAAATCACGGTCTCATCATATACCACAACAGAACTTCAAATACATCAAACGTCACTCAGCTCTAGGATAGTTCAAGGGAAATACAGCTTTCTCCTGATGTATGGACAATGAATGTACTGGTGGCAACAATTGTAGTGATTGGCTATCTGCAACAGTCGTCAATTAATTTCGGATTTCCCTTCTACCGTGTTGTTCACCATCCATGGTGTTACAGGGAACCTGAATTCGTATTATTAATATTATTTCTTTTGGTGTTAGGCCGATGGAAAGGCTGGGGCTGTCGTTGATGTAGTGACGAATGACTAGCTCTAAGGTTTTCTCCTAGTAACACTAAGCAAACGTCATAAGTTATGTGCGCCTTTGTACATTTTCTACTCTTCCCGCATCTATATTCATAAATTTGTATTTTAAGTGCGCAATTCTTTTAACCAAAAGATGCAATTAACTCTTGCCGGACTGAAATATTCCGTTGGTTTGTCACAACTGACATATATGTTAAAGGGGGAATCTGAGCACCTACGGACGTGTTTTGAGTGCTGTGAAGATAACCCAGCTCATAACTCAAACACAATGCAACCAAGACACTTTTCAGGACAAAAGAAATGGATGTCATGTCCCTCACTTCTGCTGCTAGTGTATATGATGGTACATTTTGAATGTGCTTTGTATTTACCAGTTGTGTCTTTACAGACAAAATAAAGAATAATTCTTCCACAGGATGTCATCTGCTAGATTCCAAGCAGGGGATTGATAGGGATTTTATCTTCTGTGGTATTTATCATATACTGTACAGGTACCTTTTTCAGTATGCAGAAGTAGGCCGAACAGAAACAAAATATGCAAAAAGCAAATAAAGAAGAGGACTAGAGAGTGAAATAAAAAAAAATTAGGAGAACATGGGGCGAGCTACATGCAATAGCAAAAGATAAGACAACTTGGCATGAATTGGTTGAGACCTTGTGCTCTATTGGGGGGAAAGAAGATGAATAAATTGGAATTAGGAGTACAGTACAAGAGATAAAATGTGATTTTTGTATTTCATTTAAAAGGATGAATTTGTGTTGCCTCATTATGTGTTTATATAAACTCAGTGCTCATGAGATACAGTGAACTGTATAGTTGGATTAGGAGGGACAACCCCAGCTTGTGTAAACAAAATGATCATGTAGTTAATCTTAGATTTCCACAATAAGTACAGTGTAAGAAGAGACAATGTGATTTGTGAATTTCCTTTAAAAGGATTAATTTTTGTGGCCTCATTGTATGTTTATGTAAACTCAGTGCACATGAAATACAGGGAACTGTATAGCTGGAATTAGAATAGGCAACCCCAGCTTATGTAAACAAAATGATCATGTAGTTAATCTGAGACATCCATGATGCGTACAGTGTAAAACAGATGTGCACATAGCACCCAGGTATTGGAACAAGACTAAAGTCCAGAGGTGCACGAAATTGAAGTCGGAGTTGAGTTGAGTCAAGAATTGACATCACAGCACTCAGGCCATTCCCATTCATGCTCCGTCATCTTCAGCAACCAGCGCAGAGTTCCAATACTGAAGGTACCAGTCACAATCTGGTTAAAAGTCCATTTTGCCTTTCCCCTGATTGTAGTAAGCCAGCCAGACCCTCTGGTTACACCCAGGTGCCTCATTCTCTCCAGGCCATAATAATCTTCTTTCTCTACTGATTCAGAAGTTGGAGTGCATCTGCCTAAGAGTCAAGAAACCAACAGTCTGCATAAAAAAGTCAGATCTGTAAAATGGATGTGCACACTGCACCCAGGTTCTGGAACAAGACTAAATTCCAGAAGTACAGGAACAATCATAAATTTCCACCAGAGTTTACAACAGATGAACGCGAAGAAGAAGAAGTGCACTTGTGAGACACTGCAAAAAATTGTTTTATGCCCTAATTTTATCAAGTAACTAACTCTCAATTTTTCTTCTTTGTTATCGACAGGAACAATAAGAAGTATAAGCCTAGCAATATCAATGTTCGAAGTGGCAGTCACGAGGCTTTGTTTCGGCGGCGCCTGTCAACAGATGGCTCTGAAAGTGGAAGCCGGGTGCCCTCAGGTCATACTTCACCTGTCATGTCCTCCCCGATTCGCTCCCCGCCTTACAAGCATGACCCGAATGCCGTGCAGACTGATGACCACTCCAAGTACTCCAGTAAGCATGAACTGGGATTAACTTTTCTTACGAGAGCAATTCAGTAATCTTTTCTTTCTTATTTTATTACAGTCTTCTTGATTACAAGAAAACCAGTATACCGCTGTGCACTAGTAACTAGACTGAGGTGTATTGCCTAACTAATATTTTGCATGTTGGCTGTTATTGATACCTAGGCTCATAGATTTAGAAGAAATCATGACTTCCACGCGGAGCTGCATGCAGAAGGCATTACAAAAATATGATCCTGTATGAATCATAGGTTGTTCCCTAATTAAAATGTGTTTGAACATGTGTATTTCTGTGTGAAAACATGGGTGTGTGCACATGCATAGGTATGTGAGGAGAAAGAGGAGATTTATCACGCCTGTTAAAATTGGCCGTGTTAGCGCAGTTGATAGTAGTTTCCCTTTCAAATCCAGCTGCAGCGCACGGCTGATGTTCGAAACCGGGCGGTTCCCGGGGTTTACCCAGCCTCTGGGAAATGGGTACCAGAGTAAATGGAGGAACATCGCTGTAGCTACGGAGCTGCGTGTGGACAGCGACAAGTGGACAGTTTTTTATTAGCTATCCGTACTGATGGCAGAGCACTTATGGTTTATAACCGTGTGCAATGACCCTGGTTCACATCTCCCAACTTTACCTTTGTTACAATTGAAAGTTCTACTCGGTAGTAATCTTCTGCCAGAAAAAGTACAGACTTCATTGCTTCAGCAACAACATTTGTCGTTCGGTGTATCCGAGATACTTGCGCTCACAAACTGATCAAGTAATCAGGCAATCAGTTTCAACTTTTAGCAAACAGGTCATCCCATAGTTGCTCCATTCCTGTGCCAACGAAAACTCACACAGACTGCAGTATAAGCAAAGTTAGTAGAGCGTACACACACACACACACATTAAATGCATAAGGCAGCTATTTGAAGTGCCAAGACAAAACAGTCAGGCACTAGAAATGCAGTTCATCGTTGGTGAAAGCAGCAGACCAGTAGTTGCACACACAGTTAATGAGGCGCCACCAGATCAGTAGTTGCACACACAGTTAATGAGGCGCCATCAGATCAGTAGTTGCACACACAGTTAATGAGGCGCCACCAGATCAGTAGTTGCACACACACTTAATGAGGCGCCATCAGATTAGTAGTTGCATACACACTTAATGAGGTGCATCAGATCAGTAGTTGCATACACAGTTAATGAGGTGCATCAGATCAGTAGTTGCATACACAGTTAATGAGGTGCATCAGATCAGTAGTTGCATACACAGTTAATGAGGCGCCACCAGACCAGTAGTTGCACACACACTTAATGAGGTGCATCAGATCAGTAGTTGCATACACACTTAATGAGGTGCATCAGATCAGTAGTTGCATACACAGTTAATGAGGCGCCATCAGATCAGTAGTTGCATACACAGTTAATGAGGCGCCATCAGATCAGTAGTTGCATACACAGTTAATGAGGCGCCACCAGATCAGTAGTTGCATACACACTTAATGAGGCGCCATCAGATCAGCAGTTGCACACACAGTTAATGAGGCGCCATCAGATCAGTAGTTGCACACACAGTTAATGAGGCGCCATCAGATCAGCAGTTGCACACACAGTTAATGAGGCGCCACCAGATCAGTAGTTGCACACACAGTTAATGAGGCGCCATCAGATCAGTAGTTGCACACACAGTTAATGAGGCGCCATCAGATCAGCAGTTGCACACACAGTTAATGAGGCTCCATCAGATCAGCAGTTGCACACACAGTTAATGAGGCGCCACCAGATCAGTAGTTGCACACACAGTTAATGAGGCGCCACCAGTTATCTTAGGCAATGGACTGCTCGTCATTATCCGAATCTGCAATTCACAACACAAACCACACTGGGCACAGTTGAAAAGCTTTCCATATAAAATCCGCATCTCAGTGTCGCATCATGCATTCAAAACAGAGCTTGGTGATGGCACTAGATCCTTTCAGTCTGTCTATTAAAGGAAAATGCAAAGGCAATTGTCATAAAGGAAAAATTGCCAAGACAAAAAAGCAGTAAACCTGTCTATCTGCCATATTGACCGGAAGCCACAGCCAAAGGACAGAGTGAGAAATGGAACCCATAGCCTTCAGAATGCAGGGTAAACGGCTTAATCACCTCACTACATTGAACCCCAGTTATTGACGGGGCATATGTACAATTAAGATAGTTGGAATTGCACCTAAACAAGTAAACAGTATACAATTGAGGCGTATTGTTCTTTTTTTAATTAATTGATTATTTTTACATGTCCATAGCAAAGACAATGTCATAGCATGATATTTATATTCACTGTATCATAGTATAACCTTTCCTTTCTTTCTTTGTCTCTCATTTTATGTCCTGGGTGTATAGATAATGCAGTTTTTTAAATGTAACCTTTGACGTAGCAGGTTATGCATGGATGTGCAATTACACGTATAAAGATGCCTTTGTAGCAAAGCTTAGTCTTCTTGTCTTTGTATACTTTCCAATCAACCAACCGTCAACTCTTATTTCTGCAGTCTCCCTGACTCTTGCATAATAATTTGTGAAATAATTGAGTTGAAATATTTGGGTTGGCTTTAATAACTATTACTTGGATGCCATCTGGACCAGCAACTTTCCCAATCTTTCACAGCTCCTGTAATGCAATCTGGATATGGCTCCAAGGCCCTTCATGATAATGTTACTTCGTTGCTTCGATTGGGAAGTTGGTTAACACATGACCAGCTGTGTGGCATCTTTTCAGTCCTGATTTTATAGCTGGAACATTTCAGATTGATGTTGAAAATGATAGTGATGATTTGCACATTCTTTTATGTATGAAATGTTTATGTGAAGAAGTATATAATATAAAAATTACTGTTAATTGAAACAGAAAGGCAGGGAAATAATTTGTGGATAATCTTTCTGTTGCTGTAATGTTATAGTCATAAAGTTTACTCTACAAATGTTAATCATGCAGAAGGTTATTCTAGCATGTTATCAGTGCATATAAAGGTAGGCAATAGGTCCTCTCCTGGATTTCATTCTTCAGGATAGGAATCCAACATGTACAGATCCCTGAAACCCTCGCCATATAGATTATATTTGGATCCTGATGGTTACATAAGGAGGACATCAGTAAGCTGCTCTTTGCAGACAATCAGTGCATATTCCACAGTGAAATTAAACAACTGCAGGACCAGATAAACCAACTACACGACAGTTGCCTTAAACATGACATGAAGATCAATATTGAAAAAACAGAAGTATGAGAATAAGTAGAGAGCAACAAACCAGCGGCATAAAGATCAAAGTCTGAAACAAGTGCAAGAATTTAAATACTTGGGAAGCATCTTTACATACAATGGTAAAATAGAGAGATAGAAACGAGAATCCAAAAAGCCATCAATGTCACGTATCAACTTGCTCCAATTTTAAAACACCCTGCTATCCCTGTAGAGACAAAAAAGAACAAATTATAAATACAATATTTATACCCACTTTAGGTTACCAATGTCTGACTTTGATATTGACAAAAAAACAAGAAAGAAAACTAACCACCTGTGAGATAAGATGTTTTAGAATGGCTGTGAATAAAACCAGAAGAGATTGAGTGAGAAATGACGTGATCACACGAACTGTTGGAACAACACCCATCATCAAATTTATTGAGAAACAAAGAATGAAATGGTTTGGCCATCTAATGAGAATGAAACCAAGATGCCGGCAGCAAGAGCGTGAACCTGAAAATCGAAGCATCAAGAGACAGAAAAGACTGAATGGACTGATGGAGTCACTGACACCCTGAGACTGCATAACATCACAGCAAATCAAGCTGCTGAGAGTGCCCTGGCTCAGCTGCCGATCGTCTGATGAACTGCGACGCCTAGCAGCATAAGCAGATAATGAGAAAAGAAGAAGAAGAAGGTGGTTACATAATAACCTGAAGTCCGGACTAGGGGAGGTTGATTGCAGCAGTAAAAGAGGTTAAAACACAAAACAATCTGTCATAAACACCAGAAAGTGATAGTCATCAATTTTTGACGACATGGTTGGAAGAGGAGAGTGAAAATGATGATGAGGAAACATATTTAAAGAAGAAAATTTTATAGGTAGGTGAGTAACACCAAGAGATGAACTAAAAAAAAAAAGCTTTATAAGCCACAGGATTCTGATGTAAATGTGGTGGGGGATTCTGAGCACATATCTGGTGTGCCGTGAGAATGATCCAAGACATAGCTCATAGACAAAAAATCTTTAAGGAGCAGGAAAGTTTTCCACTCACAGTGTTGATTATTTTCAAGTTTTCATTGGGGGCTGCGTGGTCTCGAGGCATTGTGTCTGCCTCGAGTGCTACAGGTTCCGGGTTCAATTCCCGGTAAGGGCTGGCATTTTTTTCAAGTGGTCTTGGACTTTTAGTAATTCCCCCTGGTCTCTGGGTTGTGAGATTAGACGCCAGTGTGTATTGTTGCGCAGGCAAAAAATACCTTGGCAGTTGGAAATTAAAAAAAAGTAGCTAACGACGCTGCCTGGGCAAAATTTGGAGTTAAAAATCTACCCAAAGTATTTCAGTATCTTTGCCGGTGCTACAGAGCCTGTGCACTGTGCTGAACTTCTCCAGACTCAGACCTGAGTTAGAAGAAGAACGGAGCACTTATGGGTTACAACCCATGTGCCGTGATGTTGATCCGTTGTTCAACACCTCAGACCCCAGTGTTCATTGGAATATATTGTGACAATGGTGGGTATAATGATTTACCTAGCTGTACTGATTTTTCCCCAGAAATGCTAATAATGTTTATTTTAACACATATGTTAAATCAGTACTGCTGCATGTAGAATGACTAAAACAGTTCTAATAAACTACAAACATTGGTTAAGTGGTACCTAAACAGAATAGAGCCGTCCAAGAGAAACATAAGGAAGAACGTTATTACTGAAGCTAAAAACGCTGGTTTGAACTCCTTGTCAGAAATAAAGGGAGTTGCATGCAGTAGAGCGGAGCACTATGTGACATGTTACAGCACATGAAGGATGATGATGAATAAACAGAATAGAGGAAATTAAATGGAATGACAGAATAACTGATGTGGGAATTAAAGAGAGATCTAAGAATTTCCAGTAAATCAAGATGTCAGGAAAAGATGCTGGCACTGGATAGGATGTACATTGAGAAAAACCTGATAATTTAATTGGAATGTTTAATTGAAATAAAGGGAGATCCCCCCAAAAAAACTGAACTCTGATTAAACTGGTTAAGGGTGATTAAAGCTGACAGGATCACATAATTGGGCCAGGTTTGATCCATTCTTTCTGGCTCTGTCTGTCTCCCAGAAAGGTTAACTGCCTGCCTGCTGAGATAGTCGCTCAGAGCACAGACTTTGTAGCATCAAGGATCTCTGAAAGAATTGCACCCATGAACTGAACACTGCAGCCTGGAAATGATCCCACAATTTTCAGAACAGGATGCAGATAGCATGACCACTTCGAAACGGAGAACCCTTCTCTACTGAAATGTATCGCTTAGTGGCTTTTTAGCGATTCTTTGAAGTGTTTTCAAAGGTCAGAGGATCCACTTCTTGCACTGGGTTTGATCCCATACTGTTGAAATTGAACAGCCCTTCAGAACATAGTTCAGACAGCATGACCGTTTCGTTATTGAGTACCCTTTTCTACTGAAATGTATTGCATAGTGGCCTTACTAATGATTCTTTAAAAAGTGTTTAACCTTTTCACCCCAGTAACAAAAAAAAGGGCCATGGCCCCATGGGGATTGCCAACAAAATCCATTAGAAACAATAATTTTACACAAGTCACTAAAAATAAAAATTAATTATGTACATTTATAATTTTTTCCCCAAAATATATAAACATACATAAAGGGCATAATCAGTAAACATCAAGCATTAAAGGGATTACATTCCCTGGGACCCAGAAAATCCATGTATAAGGCTACTCATATCATGACCCCATGTCCTCTATCCTGAGGCTTATGGGAAAATTTGACGTCAACTTGGTTTAAAAAAAAAAACCATTTGGTTTGAAGGAAAACCCCCTAAATGCTTTTTTATTAGATCTTATATTCACATCCTCACCTTGTGTACATTTGCACAGGCGCGAACACGCCAGTAGCATTAACTAACATCGTAAACAGGTCACTGTAGACAAGTTGGTAAAATAATATTTACGGGGATTTGACCTCCACCAGAAGTTTCGTTTTTCATCTTCTCAACACGACAACAGAGCTAAAGGAGAGACTTCCAGCACATGGTTTTATCCCTTAAGGTGTGTTCTCGAGAGGGCAACTGATCGTCCATAATAGTGTTGCACAAAGCATGAACTCCATAGCCCAGCCAGTGACCCCAGTGCATCTCCTAAACATCTGCACCCACGAACTAAAGGACGGTGCCCAAAATGTTGAATGTTGAATTGAAATCATGGCACTCAGGCCACCCCCTATAAGCATCCCCACCTTTAGCAGCAGGTGCAGAGTTCCAATTCTGATGGCACCAGTAACAAGCAGACTATATTTGTCTCGCCTTTCCCTTGAGTTTTGAGCGTGGGCCAGATCCCCTGGTCACTCCTCATTGCACCATCCTTCCCAGACCATGATGGGCTATATGTGCCTCCGTACTGTTCACTCACTTCCAAAGGGCTGTTACAACATCTGTGGAATCGAACATTCGACCTTTAAAGCATGAGGCAGGCAGCTTAATCATTTAACCATCAGGGCATCAGAAAAACAGGTTAGCTGCCTAACTTAACTAGTAGTGTACCAGGTATTGTTTTTTTGGTGCTTTATTAATATCCTACCCCAAACAGGGGAAATCCACAGGTCACAGGACAGTCTAATATTTCAGGAGGTGATAGATAGGCTGTATGCAGTCGTGGGACCTAGTCTGCACTCTCTCGTGGGACATAGGTGGGTTGGGGTTAGGGCCAGTTATATATGTTTAGGGTCGTTAAAAACATCAGAAAGCTGAGAAACCCAGTCTTACCACCCTCTAAAATGTTGGACTATCCTGTGATGTCATCTGGGGTAAGATATATATGAAGAACCGTTTGTCTGTTTGTATGCTCTTCAGAAGCCTCTGTTTTTTGTTTTACTTCAGATACTGACATGATCTTTCATGATGTTTATCTTTCCTGTCCACAGACACACTAACAGTTCCTAAGTCTCCTAAAACCCCCTTGAAGATTCATCATCAGATAAGCCATAGGTATGTTTGTCAAACCATTGATCTAATTTTACATATGAGGAACCATGGGTGGCTGAGTTTTACATTTTGGTGTAATTTATGTATGTGTAGTATGTAAAGTTACATATATATATATAGGATAAAAAAGATTAGAAAAAAAAACCAGGATATTGGCTTCACAAAACCAGTTACAGTAAATAAAGGATGTTGCTGTTATTAGCCTCTTTCAGCAGGACAGCAACGAGAAACAAAACACAACACGCACAAAAAAAATTTAAATTGGCTCTAATGTGACTACATTACAGTATTCAAATATTATGCAGTCTCATCATCAAGTGCCTTGCCAGCTCGCATTGGACAATCAGGCAATGCACAATCTGTGATCTTCAACAGTAAGTATGAGTTCATATGTTGACACCCCTTTAGTCATGACAAAAGATTGTCAAGTATTGCCTCACGTTGTTTTTCTCTGTCTCTTTTCACAGATCTTTCCAATGATCACAGTTGCTCCAGTTTCCTTCCTCTCAGAACATGACCAAAAAATTATGACTATCTTTTTCTGATGTTTGTGATAAGTTCGAGCCCTTGCCTTTTTAAAATTATCTGAGTTGATCTGTTTGGCTGTCCAAAGAATTCTGAGGATTTCTTTTGTAAAACCACATCTCCGAGGCATTAGGTCAACAAATTAAACAACACAATAAATGACAGAACGATATAAAGTTCTGTAAAACTTACCTAGTCCTCTGTGGTTTCTTTTACTTGCCCCACACATCAAAAAGTTGCAGTCATCATTGTGATGAGAGAAACACTGGAACAAATAATAAGAAACAAGTTATGCAGTATACATCATCTTCGTCACGTACCCTTCCCTGTGTGGGTTCATGGGTCCCATTGTGTGTGTGTATGTGAGTGGGGGAGAATGACCCACTACCCACTAACAAGCATTTGGTAGAAGCAAACTAATTAGGAGTGTTTCCTTTGAAGTCAGAGTGCATCTGCTTCAGAGGCAAGGAACCAGAAGTCAGTATGCAAATAAGCTAGATCTGTAAAACAAATGTGCATGCAGAACTGAAGTTCTGGAACAAATCTAGAAGTGGACGAACAACCAAGATTTTCCTTGGGAGTTTACAGCCAGTGATCGAGTGCACGTTCGATAATCGCAGTGACTTATATCTCGCTATCTTACACATCACTAGAATCATGGATCAGGTCAGTGCCACAGTCCAAACTGATGAACAACCAGGACTTTCCTCTGGAGCTTACAGTTGGTAAACACAGAAGAAGAAGAGGAAAAAGAAGAAGAAGAAGAAGAAGAAGAAGAATGTGACTGCTTCAGTTGTTTGCTATCATTAAGACAAAGAACAGTTAAAAAAAAATTCTTATGCATAAATTACTGCTGATGTCTGCCTTGGACATTTTGTTGTAATAAAGACTGCTAGGCCAAGAATGGAAGGTTTGTGAACTCATTTGAGATCACCATTTGTGACTATTCACAACGTTCTTTTTGACGTATAACGGAACAGCAACACAAACAGTCCAGAGTGCTGTGAAGATAATCTAACTCAAACAGTCCAGTGTTGACAGTTTGTCACCAGTTAAAAGGAAATGTATTTTAATGTGTCAGTGAACTAATATAAAGGTTAATTTTCCGGAAGGTTTGTGAACACATTTAAGATCACCACTTGCGACTGCTGCCATAAACAGATGATTCTTGGCTACAAATGCAAAGACTGCAAGTAAGACCCCGCAGGAGCAGACAACCAGTTGTCTTGTGTTTTATTATTCCCCTTTACCTGCTATTTCTGTTGCCCTTTGACCTCAACATCCCGAGAATCTTGTGCATTAGTTGCCTGTGTGATTGCAGCATGCCATGTGTACTCATTCTCCTGCCTATGTAGTCCATGTAACAGGCAGCACACGTATACAACTTGTAGCATGTAGAGCTCTTTGCTGTATGGCTTTCATTTTTCAATATGCTGTATAGAAGCTGTATTTCTGTTAACTACTTTAGTGGTAACTGTTGAGGACCATGAAACAGTCTCATAAGTAGAACTAGCCAGCATCACATTATGAGACATAAATAAAAAATGAATTTTGCTGCTAAAGAGGCTTCATCAGCAAATGGCGCAAACGGACAGAGATAAATTACAAGCAGGAAGACCCAGAATCTCTTATCTGTGAGATATCTCAATAAATATCTGTAACACTTAACTGTTGAGTGGATAAGTCATGATGTTTTCACTATATTCTCCATCTGGGAATGCATTCTGAAAGTGTAACATACAGTGATGATTCAGTAAGTCACTTTGCAGGTGCCACTCAAACAGAAACAAATCCCAGATGCCCCATCCTGTTTAATTGTATGAAACCATTTATTAGGACACCCCACAATTACACCAAGTATTGCCCTGTTGTGGGGAGGATGACGGTTAGAGCAAAAGACACTTTTTACACTTTTGGTGCTTCTGGCATATGGTGCTAGACCTAAATTGTTATAGACCATTCGGGACTCGATGAGTGATGTCGTCAGCATCATGCCAGCTGCCTTTACTTCCCAAGTCCTTAGCTGGTTTCCCTATTAGGCTGGTTGAATTTGGAGCCAAGGTCAATTTTGAAAGAAATTTGCTTCGATGAGGATTTAAACCCCCACCCTTGGACTGGCAGGTGAGCGTCTAGCCACTGCACTACTGCAGTTTCTGAGGTTGATGGCTTTAAAGTTAGTTGCAGAACCAACCCCAGCATTGTTGAGGTTTTTTGAGGCATTGGATTGGCGCCTATGGCTTAGGTGTTGTAAATGAGCATTGCAATGCTGGGGTGCCGGGTTCGATCCTAGCCGTGGACGGTTCGTCTTGTCTTGTATTGGTTTCAACAGTGGTACCGAGAGTTGACCGTTCAGATGCATTGGCAAACTACTGAACGTAAAATTTGCCTAGAAAAACCACAACAGCCAAAAAAAAAATGCTGGGGTTGGTTCTGCAGCGTCCTGTAAAAGAAATGCACCAACTTTAGTTTGTCACTGCCTCTGATCAGTCGGCTCTCGGTACCACAATCAAAACCAACGCAAGACGGTCTGCTGCCAAATCACTTGCAGTTGAAATCGAACCCGGCATTACGAAATGAATGCAGCCAAGTGATGTGATTATCTATACAGATGACTGTGTGTTGAAGAGCTGGGGAAGTGCATGGGAATTTATATCAAAGGCGAATGGACGTCCCATAATTAACAAAGCCTGGCATATGATATCCCAATGTCTAGTTTGAGATTGGAGGTGGAGGCAGTCACTGCTGCCTTCCACTGGCTTGAGAATCAGCTGTACACACACGCCGTGATTGTCACTGACTCACAGAGCATGTTGAGAAAGTTGGAGACAGGTATGCTCTGTGCAGAGTGGCAAGCATCACTTCAGAGGTCCAGGGTAGTTAGCATCCTTTGGATATTCTCTGCAGGTCATGCAGTTATGTTAGAAAATTAACAGGCAGATAGACTGGCTGGTTCCGCACCACTTGGTGGTGAACTGATGTATGACAAGCTGGACGTTGTGAGTGCCCTCTGGGAGGGAGTGAACAGTGAGGAAGTGCAAATAGATCATTACGATCTGAGGAGAATTTCACTGTGAGGAGTTAACCAGGGGATCTGGTCGACGGTCAACACTCAAGGAAAGGGCGAGTTGGATATACAATCAGACAGTTACTGGTGCCATCGGAATTGGAACTCTCAGTTTGCTGCTGAAGATGGGGACGGAACGCTAATGGGGTTTTCCCGTGTGCTATAATGTTAATTCTTAATTCAACATTCAACATAGAATCAACTGGCCACATCTCTTGGTAGATGCAGAAACTTCTATGAAAATAAAAATTTGTTCTTAAAGTAAGTGCCCCCTACCCCTTCTCTCTCTCTCTCTCCCCCCCCCCCCCCCCCCCACCCTTCACCGGGAATGCTATTTATAGTAAATTTATACTTCCCCTACCACTCTCAACATTTTCACAGACTTGGATGCAATTAATTCTGTTAGCTAGACATCTCATAAACATGTCTATACAATTCTGTTAGCTAGACATCACATAAACATGTCTATACAATTCTGTTAGCTAGACATCTCATAAACATGTCTATATAATTCTGTTAGCTAGACATCTCATAAACATGTCTATACAATTCTGTTAGCTAGACATCACATAAACATGTCTATACAATTCTGTTAGCTAGACATCTCATAAACATGTCTATATAATTCTGTTAGCTAGACATCTCATAAACATGTCTATACAATTCTGTTAGCTAGACATCTCATAAACATGTCTATATAATTCTGTAAGCTAGACATCTCATAAACAGGTCTATACAATTCTGTTAGCTAGACATCTCATAAACATGTCTATATAATTCTGTTAGCTAGACATCACATAAACATGTCTATACAATTCTGTTAGCTAGACATCTCATAAACATGTCTATACAATTCTGTTAGCTAGACATCTCATAAACATGTCTATATAATTCTGTTAGCTAGACATCTCATAAACATGTCTATACAATTCTGTTAGCTAAACATCACATAAACATGTCTATACAATTCTGTTAGCTAGACATCTCATAAACATGTCTATACAATTCTGTTAGCTAGACATCTCATAAACATGTCTATATAATTCTGTTAGCTAGACATCTCATAAACATGTCTATATAATTCTGTTAGCTAGACATCTCATAAACATGTCTATATAATTCTGTTAGCTAGACATCACATAAACATGTCTATATAATTCTGTTAGCTAGACATCTCATAAACATGTCTATATAATTCTGTTAGCTAGACATCTCATAAACATGTCTATACAATTCTGTTAGCTAGACATCTCATAAACATGTCTATACAATTCTGTTAGCTAGACATCACATAAACATGTCTATATAATTCTGTTAGCTAGACATCTCATAAACATGTCTATATAATTCTGTTAGCTAGACATCACATAAACATGTCTGTAGTGAGTCGGGAAAGCGTCTCTTATAGGAAAATGGTATCAACCGCAAGTGTCAGTTTTGTGGCTTCTAGGGACGAAAGGGTTAAAGCAATCCCAACACACTTGACTGTAGCATATATTGACCATGACATGGCTGGTTGAGTGGTTAAAACTCTGACCTCTTACTGTGAGATTCTGGTGCCAGTCCTATTTTAGGTGATGTACATGTTTTCTTTTCTTTTCTGGTTGGCCCTTAATCCCCACCTTCAGTTCTCCTACCCCCTCCCCACCACCTCCGCCAGTAAACTGCCCTAAAAAGTGGTAAATACGGCAGTAAAGAGAGTTTATTTACACACCTGGCACATATTGAACTTGTCATATTTAAGAGTGTAAAGTGTCTTTGAATTGGACTTTTCATGCATTGTGAGCATTGGTAATCGGATTAGCTGCTCAATTCAACTTAGTAATGTTCAGGGCTCATCAAATATTTTGAACCAAAATTTTTTATGTTTTTCTGTCCTGTATTTGTGTGTTTTTTTAATTTAAAAAAAAATGTATTTTGAAATTAAGATAGGCCTACCTGTTGATACAAATATTTACATGTTAGAACTAAAATAATTTCAATAGATTTTTCAGTTTACAATTACCACAAGAATGTATTAATGGTCGTAGTAATACAGTAAAGTTAAGATCCTTTTTCAAGCCTTTAGCCACATCGGGCATACGGAAGAGCACTCATAGCTTTACAGACCGATTGGCACTAGGTGGGTAATGTGGTCGCATTACGCCTGTCCTCTTTACTTCCCAAGACGTACATCCTGGTACCCATTTTAGGCTGGGTCAACCTGCGACGCCGCATACCATGATTAAAAATCCACACAGCCAGCAGTGGGTTTTGATCGTGCTACATAGGAATAATGAGTTGGACTTGCAACGCCTAAGCCACGGGCACCGCCTTAGTAATACAGTATTAGTCTTTATTTAATAAAATTTGTGTAGTCCACTTCGAGGCTTTCATTTTGGAGATCAAAGAGTAGACCCGCTACTTTCCTCTAACAAGTATGTCTTAGGACAGTGATTCCTTAACTGTGCGCCGTGCGCCCCCGGGAGCCGCGACCTTGTTAAGATACATAAGTTTTATTTTTTTTTCTCTTACATACGAACAATCATACTTTTACTTAGGTTAGGGTGCTGTGGAAAAATTTTAATTGAAAAAAAGCGCAACGAGTAAGAAAAGTTTGGGAAACCTTGTCTTAGAATGTGACTAATTAGGGGAGTTTCCTCCAAAGTCTGAGTGTTTCTGCCTCTGAGGCAAGGAACCCGACAGTCTGCATACAAAGTCAGGTCTGTAAAATAGATGTGCACACAAAACATAAGTTCTGGATCAAGACCGAAGTCCAATAGTGGACGAGCGACGAGAACTTTCCACCACAGTTTACTGCTGGTGAACGTTAATAAAAGATAGTCCTTGGGATGTAGCATTAGTCCTTCTGTCTACCCACAGTCTTCTGTCTTGCGCACTGTCAATCATTTCTGATATTTTTTAACAAAATCCTATACTACCGTACTGTTTATGTTTAGCACCCCCTGACTTGGTTTTAATAAAAAAAATAACTGTAAAATTTTAAATTATCAGCAATAGAAGAATACATTGACTTAAATAAGCATTCAGTACAAAATAATGCTTTAAAGAAGTTCTTGTTTCTTTTATTGGCCGATTATCATTTAAAATAACAAAGAAAGACATTGTATGTATTTTGTTTCAAATTTT